ACGGGGGAATGAATTCTTTTCCGTATTTCGATGGCTGCATGCCAACGAATCAGGACTGCCTTCACTTTCTCATGCCTTAAGCCATTGTGTTGTTGATCGACCAGATCCTGAATTAAGAGTTTTTTTGTGGTCCAATACCATGTTGCTACTCCCGTGTGAGGTATCAAATGTTCAAATTGCAACACTTTCGCCGTCTTTCCCTCCTCATTAATCACACAGGCAAGAAAGAGAGGTGATGACAGTGTTACAATTCGAACATTCGACGCGTCCGTGTGCGAGTTGTAATTTACCCAGGCTGGAACTCACCGGGCCAGCCCGTGCGATCATGCGTTTTTGCACCGGACTTGAGGTACTCAGGTCATTAACTGTATGAATGGCTGTTGATTTACACCTACCTTTTGCGCTCACTAGCATAAATCACCATAAATTTTCCAAAGTAAATGTACAGTTTCCATTTAACAGTCGTTCTTTAAAAGTGACTTAATTGTTCAGTGAGAAATTTTTTCGCCAAGACTTCAAGTGACCTTACGTAAGAACCACGCACACTTCAAAGCTGAATTTGAAATACTTAAGTTGTACTTGGACACGGAACATTCCTCCAAAATTTTCAGCTTTCTAGCTTTACTGGTACGCGAGTTAGCGATTTTCCCCCTAAAACTTTCCTACGCCCTTACGTGATTACCACGCATAGCTGGGGACTGAATTTGAAATTTTTGGCTGGTACATGCACAGGAAATATGCCTACAAAGTTTCAGCCCCTTAGCTCGTGTGATTCCCGAGATCGATTTCCCGTCAAAAAATTTGCACATCTTTTTAAAGCGTCCGTACGCGGCACCCAGGCGTTCGAGGGGGATGAAATTAAAACGGGAGGGTCGCGCATGATATGGGCACATATCCCTAAAGTTTCAGCCTTCTAGCTTTCCTGGTTCTCGAGTTGAAAGTGTGTGACAAAAAGTGCGAACACACAGACACACACAGAAACATACACACGGCCCCTTCCCAATATGCGTTTTTGCAATCTGCATATATGCAAAAAGGCATAAAAACTGGTTTTAAACTTTCAGACTTACACATGGACAGACAACATTCTCATCAAATTGCGATTTCCCGCTCAGTCTGGTTAGGGAATTAAATGGTTGCCAAATTTGTCCAAAACAGAATTCTGCTTTCGTTTCACGCGAGATTTCTAGGTAGCGCAAAATTAACTTTAAAATCTTTGAGTTGCACATGGCTGGTCGGGGGTAGTACCGTCGATTTTGAAAATCATTGGCAGACAGTTGTCAGATGCTTCATCGCATGATCGGCATGCAGGACATCGCTATAAGCAGACACTGAAGTTTGATTCGATGGACATAGTGCTTTTCGCGTTGTCGTGTGTCAGTGAGTTGTGGCGGTGAGAGGTAAGATGAGTGCTCGGACAGATCCCAAAGACGCAGCACCTACTCATAAAACAGGTTGCCAGGGACTATCGCTGCGTAAGCAGTCGTCGATACTTGGCAATACATCAGTAATATTCACATATGTTGATATTTTTAAATTCTGAAATTTACACTTATGCCCTGTCACGTTTTTATGCGTTTTTTACATCTATACCATGCAAAAATGCATACTAACAATGGGTTGTCTGTGTGTGCCTGTGTGTTTGTCTGTGCCGATTTTTGATCTCGACACCTACGAAAGCTACAAGGCTGAAACTTTGGGAGCTTAATCTACACGCACGTACGAGCCCCCATTTCCAATATAGGCACTCTACCCACGTGATTCCCACGTACGGGCTCGTCAAAGTTTTCGGTGGATAAGCTGCTAACTCGGGGAAAGCTAGAAAGCTGAAATTTTAAGGAGATGTTTTCAAACAGTCCTGATAGGCTAGTTTCAATTATCTAAGCTAGTAGCATTTGCCGGAAAAGCCGGTGCCGTTAGGGACAAAAACGTGTGCGAAACTATGCAAGAAACGCATCTTCGCACCGGCAGTCGGTGTGCTGGCCGTTTATTTTTTATTTTTTTCAAATTCTTCGAATTTGCTGTTTATGCAGATGTGCTTGCGTTTCCCAGCACATCAGTGGTACTAGTTTAGTCACTCTGAAGCGGCTTCCACGTCAAATCATTCCCTCCAGTTTAACAGAGGGAGCACACAGCAGTGTGGATGTCAGTAGACAGATCCAGGAGACTCATTGGCCCCTTACCTCGGAATCCTGACGTAGAACAGCACCGTTCCGGAGCGTCAGCAACGGAGCATTGCGCTGCAACAGTCTGTCAAAAACCCTTGCTGGTGCTGACGGGCTGCTGTTGTGTGGTGCTTTGAATTCAAAATTTTGCATCATTTTGAGAGGGTGGGGGGCCTGCTGGTCCGGGGTCTCCTGGATACGATTGCCTGGGATGTGGGGGGTTCCGTCATTCGTCCATTTCGAGTTAGTTACGTCTGTTATATACGTGGCAATGCGCAGTGGGGACTTGAAACATACCAAATGTGCGGAGAGGATGCTGCT